TTTGTGCAGAGGAATAACAGCTATGATTTTGGGTAGTGAAACAGACATAAACTACATTAGTTAAAAATACTTTGAAAGTTGGCTCTCTCACCCACTGCATTTTTGGGAGCAGATTGCTTTTTCAGGCGGCCAGCAGAATATGAAAATTCCTTATACATCCTGAGTTTTCCAGCCCAGTTTCTGAAGTATTCCTTTCTTTGGCAATTCTAATGAAAACACAGGAGGGAAAAAGTGACTTTCCTGTTCTTTCCTATCAAAAGGTAGTTACTTCTCATATAATGAATGCTTTGTAGTGCAGGAGACAGAGAGTAGCTAGCACTGCTGATTCCCCTTTCCTGGCTATTTATTGCAAAATCAGATGTTTTAGTGGTGGCTCAGATGGTAAAGAATCTCCCCTTGATGCAGGACCCGGGTTCGATCCCTGGGTCAGGAAGATCCCTTGGAGGAGGAAATGACAACCTGCTCCAGTATCCTTGCCTGGAGAGAGCCTGGGCAATTCACAGTCCGTGGGTTCACCAAGAGTCGGACGTGACTGGCAACTAACACTTTCCTTTCTTTCCCAGTCTGTTGTGTTGTGTGGTTCCTTACAGTTAAGCAGGTGAGACGTCTACAATCTGGGTGAAGCCTGCCCTCCCCGGTCCAACCTCAACCTTGCCCCCAACTTCAGAACATTTGAACGTGAAGTCAGCTTGTCAGGTTTTTCTCCTTTTTCCGTCTTGACTCTTAGGTTCTCTACCCAGATTCTTTTCTCATTGGGTTCTTAGCATCCAAGAAGAAGCTCAGTCATGCTTGTATGCAATAACTGTAAAAGTAATTATAATTGTTACCATCTTAAATCAAGCTGGAGGGTGGAATGTTCAAGTCACTTTCTCATTTTGGGTAAAATGTGAAGTATGAGGCAAAACAGGTTGAGCAAGACAGTGAGTTATGGGCTTTCTGGAAGGAAGACTCCTGGAACCCTGGAGGGAGTGTGTGTGTCAGTACCTACCAGGATGTTCCCTGAGAGGGTCAGTCATCCCCTGGCCATCCCCTCTGTGCCTCATGCCATTTGTTACTGCTGTTGTTCGGTTGCTAAGGTATGTCTGACTCTTTGCGACCCCATGGGCTGCAGCACACCAGGCTTCTGGGAGTGGGTTCTGCCAGGGGTGGTTTCATGTTATGGAGACCAGTGAATCACTTTTTGTCGTTGACTTTTTATTTTGTATTGGGGTACAGCCGATTAACAACCAATGTTGTGATAGTTTCAGGTGAATAGCCAAGTGACTCAGCCATACATATACATGTATCCTTTCTCCCCCCAAATCCCCTCCCATCCAGGCTGCCACATAACGTTGAGCAGAGTTCCCTATGCTATACCGGAGGTCCTTGAATCCCCTCCCATCCAGGCTGCCACACAACATTGAGCAGAGTTCCCTATGCTATACTGGAGGTCCTTGTTGGTTATCCATTTTAAATGCAGCAGTGTGTACATGACCATCCCAAACTCCCTGATTATCCCTTCCTCCATCCTTCCCCATTCCCTATGCTATACCGGAGGTCCTTGAATCCCCTCCCATCCAGACTGCCACACAACGTTGAGCAGAGTTCCCTATGCTATACCGGAGGTCCTTGTTGGTTATCCATTTTAAATGCAGCAGTGTGTACATGACCATCCCAAACTCCCTGATTATCCCTTCCTCCATCCTTCCCCCTGGCAACCATAAGTTTGTTCTCTAAGTGGAGACCAGTGTATCTTATTAAGACATAGATGAAGAAACACTAGAACATCTTGGAGTTATTCACAGACATCTCAAGTGTAGGGGAGATACATTTAGAGGACTTTGGGATTCTCCTGATTATTGCTTGAAGAGTTCAATTTCTAATAACTCAATGGTGGAAAGATTTCTTGTTAGATATTCTTTTTCTATGGAGTGCAACTATGAGTCATTCATTTCTCAAACATTCATTACTAGTTTTGCCAAGAGTGAAAATCAAAAGGCAGGTTTTTGAACTGTGCCTGATGAAGCCTTCAGCTTCAGTGATGGTGCCAGGAAGACTGCTGGGGAAAAGGTCAAGGGATTTGCCAAGGATAGATATTATGTTAACTCCTCTTAATCACAGATACAGAGTGCACACACAAACACAACAATAATAAATAAAGGGGACAGGAGGAAACTTTTGGAGGTGTTAGATATTTTTCTATTTTTACAACTTTGATTCCATAGCCCATAGGCATGTTACTCACAAACTGTGGAGTAAAACCTTGTATATATGGCAAGAGACAAGATTAAATTTCAGATGGCCTTGATTTCATACAACTTCTCACCCTGCCTTTAGAAGAAGACTGTTTTGAAGACATAACCTCTAAGAGGTATCCCATTATGTCTTCGTTTTTCAAGTACATTGGCCTGTTCAGTGTCTCCTTCTAAAAAATAGTATAGTTTGAGACTCTGAGAAATAAATAACTTTCTTGAAGAACACCTAGCTTTCTTGTTAGGTTTGTAACAACAGGATTTATCTATTCTCAACAGCTTCCTCCAAACAGGCTGTTGGTGTAATTGACATTTGTGGTGTGGGATGTTTCTGGCCTGTGTCATTTCCCATCTTCCGTACTCAGGAAGCATTTGCTGGCTACATTTCTTCTTGCTGTTTGACTTGGGATTTCTCTTTTTGAGGGGAAAACTAATTCAGAATATGTTGTATGAGCAGTGTTGGGAAAAGACAGATGAAAATACGTTGTTGGTAAGATGATGTGTATTATCAACCAGGAAGTCTTGAGAAGAAAACAGGTAGTGGCTGTGTAAACATAAACTGGGGACAGGAGAGAAGTAAAATTATTCACCTTTACCTGTAATTGACCCTAAAGAGGTTTTGTTGTTTTTAACTCCAAAATCCTGAATTTGATGTGCAGGTTGCTTTGAATTTAATTTGCTCTTGAATAACAGATCTCCAATAGTTAATTGAATAAGAGCATGGTGTCTTGAACCATATTGGTCTTTTCCCAAGAAATACCTATCATATTGGAAGCTAATCATTCATTAGCTTCCTTTTTAATTTATTTTTAATCAGATCTTTTATTACTTCCCAAGGAATAGGTGATAAACCTTGAACACTTCAGGTTACTAGAGTTAGAAACTGCTGACTCTTTCTGATATGACACTAAGAAAGTTAGTGCAATTAGGTCTCATAGATTTTCTATCTAATTCAGTCTGGTTTTCACTCCCTTATTTTAGTACTTTCGTACTAATATAATGAAACTTAAGCCACTGTGAGTCTGTGTAACAAGTGCTGAATATGTAGAATAATTTTTTTTGCCTGAAAATTGGGAGAAAGAGAGTCTGGATCTTCTGGAAGGAGAGGATTTAATTATTTTTGTGGCCAAATTTATCAGAATTGCCCATACTTGTTAAAGGAGGAGGGTTTGGCAACCCACCCAGTATTCTTGCCTGGAGAATCCCCATGGACAGAGGAGCCTGGAGAGCTACAGTCTATTGCGTCACCAAGAGTCAGATGTGATTGATTGACTAAGCACTCATACTCTTTTAAAATAGTAAGAACTTAAAGATTTTGCTTTTATTTAATCAGAAATGAAATTTCTTGATGTGATATAAACTATGAATATGTAGGAAAATTATTTTCACAATGATCTTCCCTCTTAAAGATATTATGAGTAAAAATCTAATGGAAGGGCTTCCATTATACTTTTTGTTTTTTGGTGTAGAAATATCCTTTCCTATAGTCATGCTACATGTAGAGACACTTTATTCTTTTACAATTTCAGTCATCTTATGATAGCTGTAGTCATGAAATTCAGGTCTCCTTCCATCTTTTTTTCCTCCTCTCTCTTTCCCCTTCTTATAGCCCTCTCTCCTTGCTCCATCTCTCCACATAATATCCATCTGTGAGGCAGTTCTGGTGTAATGGGACAGCACTGGACTTGGCCTCAGAAGATAGAGGTTTGAGTTTTGCTGTGTTGTGTATAAACTCTGAGACCTTTGGCAGATTGCACAGCTTCTCAGGACCTCAATTCATCTGTAAAGTGAAGGAAATGATCATTGCGGTTGTAAAAGATTAAGTAAAGCAATGCATGTGGAGGAACATAACACTGATACCATGTTGAAAAAAATTTTTATTGGGCTAGAATATGCAAAACAAAATTTACCATTCCAACCGTTTAACATGTAATCCAGTGACATTATAATCACAACATTCCAAATGTTGTGCAACCATCATGCTGTCTATTTCCAGAACTTTTTCATCATTCCAGAAACTCTGCACTCATTGTCATGACTCTCCATTTTCCCTTCCTCCAGCTCTTGGTAATAATCACCTTTCTACTTTCTGTCTTTGTGAAGTTGACTGCTGTAGGTTCCTCATATAAATGGAATCATACAATATTTGCCCTTTTGTGTCTGACCTATTTCCCTTAGCATAATGTCTCTAAGGTTCATCCCTGTTGTAGCATGTGTCAGATTATCTTTCCTTCTTAAGGCTAAATAGTATCCCATTGTATGTTTATAACACATTTTGTTCATTCATTCATTCATTGATGGGCATTTGGATTGTTTCTTTCTACGTTTTGACTGTTGTGAATAATGCTACTGTGAATATGGGTGGGCAGGTATCTGTTTGAGTCCCTGCTTTCAATTCTTTTGGGTGTTCACCCAGAAGTGAAATTGCTGGATCATATGGCAATTATGTGTTTAACTTTTTGAATGACGTTCTAAGTGTTTTTTGAGTCTGTTGAATTGATCATAGCAATGCCATTCCGAAATGGTGTGTCTGTTCATAGTATTTTAATTTCCATAGGTCACTTGCTGTGAGTCAGGATAGTGAGGTCACCTTACGTTTCAGAACTCCAGGGATAGCTTGCCGAGGTGGCTAGCTCTTTAGCCCATGGTTCTCAGACATGCACTCGCTGTACGCTTAGATCACTGAGGGGGAGGATGTGCTGTGCCCAGATGTGCTGGTTAAACAAGAGCTCTATCAATGGATGTTTTCTGCTTTGGGCCTTTCCATAGGGATTGAGGAGACTGAAGGAGGCTGAGGACCTCAGATGGGCTCAGTGGGTAGGCTCCACTGTCTGACCATGACGGCCGCCGAAAATCCCACGCCTGGAGACCTGGCTCTGGCACCCCTCGTCACTTGCAAACTCTGCCTGTGTGAACAGTCTCTGGACAAGATGACCACGCTCCAGGAATGCCAATGCATCTTTTGCACAGCTGTAAGTTTTCCTTGATGCTTTCATCATATGAAAAATATGAAGGGAAAAATTGTAAAAGTATAGGAGATATTTCTGTGGCTCGGGAGAAGCCAAACTACCCTATGATCCTGCTTGGAAGAGCAATTCCATGTTTGGATATGATTCCAAATACTATTTTGAATGCTAAATCCGATAGTTGCTGGGGTTTAGGCAAAGTGTAACATGTGTATGAAATTTAATTATTGGTTGCATAAGCTGTGCCTTTCTGTTCTTAATGCTCTAGCTAAGGAACAAAATAGAGACATTTTTAACTTGGCTTAATTTACCATCTGTAAGAAGCTCATCAGGTGTTTGAATGATGGAGAAATCAGGTAGCAATTTGCTGAATTTTCTTTCATCTCCTGCAAAGCACACGGTATGCAAATGTTTTACTTTGTCAAATATCCTTTTTAATTTTTTTTTTCTATTTTCACAATATTCTGAATGCTGCTTATTCCTTATAATAGATATCACCGTATAGATCTTCAGGGGTGGGCTTGTCTCTTTTAGTTTGACACTTTGGTATCCGTGCCGGTGATCTTGATGGCATGCAGGCCTGAAGGTTGGTTGGTTAAAGGATGTGCTAAGTAGCTTCAGTCTTGTCTGACTCTTTGCGACCCTGTGGACCCAATGGTTAAAGAATAAAGATAGGACTGATGGGTTCCATGGGACTTCTAGAAGTATGAGCCAGGTGATCGTGTTCAGATTTTCATTTATTCAAGCACTTTTGGAGCTCTCACTGTGTGCTAGTGAGAGCTCCCCGCAGAAAAGATGGACACGTTGAAGGAACTGGACAGGGGTTTGGTGGAATCCGGGGTGGCTCAACGCCGCATGCCACAGGAGACCCTCACCTGCTTTAGGAGTGGGAGGGGGCTTCTGATGGCAGTGCTGTCTGATCTGAGGCTTTAAACAAAAGACCGTAAGCTGATGCCCTTGGGCCACACCTGGCCTCAACACATTTTTGTTTGTATTGCCCATTGGGAAATTTCAAATCATGATAAATTTTTCATAAAAAATTGAAAACGTAGTAAGATATAGCTTCTCTGGGCTTGTATTCATAGACCCAGAACTGAATGATCTTCTCTTTATGGCACTCACCTCTCTCCTGTGTGTTTGAATCAGCAACCCTCCCCCCCCCCGAAAAACATGATATCACATTTTATTATTGCTATAGCTGAATCAGCTACCCTTTTTAAACTAAGGATGGATTAAGAGTCAACTCGGAAGAGTACTGGGCATCTCAGCATGGTGGGGTGAGGGCCTGATGCCTAAATTACAATAATCACCATTTATCTTTGCTTTGGGAAGGGGCCTTGTATGGTCCAATGGCTAATACTTATTATACAGTAAGTGTAATAATCACCAGACAAATGTGGATTTAATAGCCTTGACTTGTGAGGGAAATTGACCAGTTTAGTTACAGTGGTCAGTGCTCAAATCAAGGGGAGTGAGAAGAAAGGAATTATTTAGCAAGTTCTAGAATCATTTATAAAAAGGTATTTCACTAAGCATGCTTAAAAATATAGTTAAGGTGAAATAAATTTTACCCCATCTCTTTTTTTCTAAGTTTATTCAACTAACGTGACACATTTTCCAGCTAGTTTATATCCGTTTTCTTAAATTCTTTTGGATTGAAGATTAGAGTAGAGAGAAATTTTGGAATAATTCTTAGGTAAAAAGGGAAAGCGAGAAAAATCCTTTCCTTTTGTTTTGAACTGTAGCATCCAAAGATGGCAGAGAATAGTATCATTTATCCCTTCATTCAACAGGTATCTAGGTGTCTAGTAAGCAGCATCTTTGTCCTGGGAATTGTTCTAGGCACTGGGATGTAGCAGTTAAGCAAAACCCAGCAGAGTTCTTTGCTCTTAGGATCTTATATTCTATCAAAGGAGTTACATGATAAATAGTAAGTATAATAAATAGGTAAGTTACCTATAGAGTGGTGGGAAATAGGGGCTTAGAAAAAAAGAGCAGGAGGTTAGGGGTATGGGGCCAGGGTTTTCAGTGATAATTGGGTAGACAGGAGGAGGCTTCAGTAAGTGTATGTGTGTATTCTTAACATTGATGCACAAATTTGAAAAAAATTTCCCTCACAAGTCAGGGGTATTAAACCTACATTTGCCTGGTGATTGGGCTTCCCTTGTGGTTCAGCTGTTAAAGAATCTGCTTGCAATGTGGGAGACCTGGGTTTGATCCCTGGGTTGGGGAGATCCCCTGGAGAAGGGAAAGGCTACTCACTCCAGTATTCTGGCCTAGAGAATTCCAGGGACTGTATCGTCCATGAGGTCACAAAGAGTTGGACACAACTGAGCAAATTTCACTTGTAAAACTTGTTGTTTGGTGATTATTACATTCATTGTATAATAAATATTAACCATCAGACCATTCAAGGCCTCCCAAAGCAAAAAAAAAATGGTGATTATTGTAATTTAGGCATCAGGCCCTCCCTCTACCATGCCGAGATGCCCAGCTTAGTAGATGCCCAACTTTTCCTAGTCGACTCTTAATCCATCCTTAGTTTAAAAGGGTGTTTGTCCTGGTTCTTCCTCATCTTGTCAGTGTGAGTTGCTTTACAGGAAGTGAGGAAGTGGCCTTGTCATCACGGGGCAGCTTCAGTTTCCTTTGGTCTTGCTTTCTTTCAGAGTGTTGTGCTTCAAAACTATTTTCTTTGACTTTCTCACATTGGTTTCAGACCCTTGCTAATCCTTGAAACAAATGAGTCAGAAGCAACGTTTGGTTAAAGCCAGAATGGAAATTTTTGTCTGAAAGTTACTCTTTAAAAGCAGGATATGGGATTCACTTTTTCAGAGATCTCATAGAGCAGAAGTCAAATTTGTGCATCAGTGTTGGGCAAAGAGTGCACACACACACACACACACACACACACACACACACACACACAAAGGCCGTGTTTCATATTCACAAGGAACTGACACCTACTGTATTATTGTTTCCGTAGATCTAAGTTCCCAGTTAAAGACCGCACAACTAGTTCTTATTTCTCCTTCAGCAGTTTGGGAGTAGGGGGTTGATACAATTAGATTATTCTGTCATCTAGATCCACACGTCCCCATTGTTGGGGCGTATGCAAAAGCAGAAGGTCAGATGGCTTGGTATTCTTGTACTGTTGTGACTTGGGAACTCTACATAGCCATAAATATGAACCTTCCCTGGCTTCCCAATGTGATCTATCAAAATAGTCAGCTCTATTGGGCTTCTCTGGTGGATCAGGGGTAAAGAATCTGCCTGTAATACAGGAGATGTGGCTTTGATCCCTGGGTCAGGAAGATCCCCTGGAGAAGGAAATGGCAACCCACTCCAGTATTCTTGCCTGGGAGATCCCACGGACAGAGGAGCNCACGGACAGAGGAGCCTGGTGGGTCGCAGTTCATGGGGTCGCAGAGGAGTCAGGCATGACTGAGTGAGCACAACCAGTACCACGTGTCTGATTACATTAGTGTCTATAAATTTGCAATTCAAACCTGAAATACTTCACCTGAGATACTAGTCTAACTTTTTTTTGATAGAGCTCTATTTCTTTCTTCTTTTTAAAAACCGGTTGTGTCTAAGGGTTACGGATGTTAAAAACCAGTTAAAAATACTAGTTTAAAATGTGTCTGATCCTGCTGGATTTTGATTTGCGTTCAGATTAAAGATATTAAATGTGTTTTGTGTTTTCAAGGCTGAAAAGAAACCTGTGACATCTTAAAATAAACCATATACTCCTAATTCCAAATTTTAGGTATGATTGAACGACATTTTCCCAGTTATTGTCTGGGAAAGCCTTCTTGTGCATACGATGTATTTAATATGGTCTTGCTAAGATAGCTCCCTCTTGCCCCTCTCTTGAGAGGAATGTTTGCATGTAATGGTTCTCCTTCTAGGTATGGTGCTGTATTTTCACCATTTCGGTGAACTTTGCTCCATTCTATCCTTGTCTTGTTTCCCCTAAGAAGCAGTGTGATCCGTATGCTTGGGGAGAGCAGAATGGACAGAGATGAGGCATCTGACTTGCCCATTGGCTGTTAGCCAACTCAGATCTGGTTTGAGTAGCTGCTCCCCAGCCCACATGTGTTCTGTGAACCTCCAGCTCTGTGAAAGAGATGATCCTTGCACAAAGTGTTTCAGAGTCAGATTAGCTTGGATGCGGATGTATTTTCTATTCCTCTCTTGGAGGCTTGCGATGCATGTTTGCATTTTAGAGACTCTGTGAAACCTTGTGCTTAGAAAGAAAGCAAAGGGACGCAGTTGAACTTCTGATGAAGTATTTCTGTTCTGCCAATGCTACCCCCCCCCTTTTTTTTAAGTGGAATACCTATTAATTTCTCCACAGCCAGTGCATGGAAGAATATTGCTTTCACTTATTCCATGGAGGTAGTTCTTTTTTTTTTTTTTGGAGGTAGTTCTTGATTTAATGACATCTAGAGAAAGGAATGTGACAGATGTTGCTTCAAATAATCCTTTGATGTATCTAGTTTCTTGTTAAAAGGAAGCTTTACCATGTTCTGTTTGGGAAGATAGTTTCTGTTAGACTTTTTGCTCAGATGTAGCATAGAGAAGAAAATATTGTATAAAGGAAATGAAGCTAAATATACAGGACAAAAATGGGTGGGGCTCTCACTGGCATGACTGAGGTCATGAATCATTAGGTGTATCATGCAGCCAGAGAGGCTGATGCTGTGGGGTTACAGAGAGAGGTGTTGCAAGATTACTTGTTTTTTTTTTAAATTTATTTATTTTTAATTGAAGGATGATTGCTTTATAGTATTGTGTTGGCTTATACCAAGCATCAACAAGGACTGCTTGTTGAACTTAAAGGACAAATATCTCAGGGATGTTAGTCTACTAACTAATAATATGGAAAAAGTCTCTCCCCTCCCCTCGTGGATTTAAATAATGCAAATAAAAAGATTTAAATGCCCCTTCCCTAGCTTTTGCAACACACTCTTTCAGATAATACCACACAATTATAATTC